TTTGGCCCACCTAGGGATGCCCAAAACTGCTGTACAACAGGGGCCCCTCCCAAAAACCAAAATACTAAAATCTACTGGGCCCTTCTGTCCGCCGCCAATTGGAAACACATCTCTTAATGCCAGAGATTTGTGAAAAGGAAACAAAATGTTTATTTAATGCTATTCAGGCCTAATGCCACCACTAAAATATCAAAGTCCTTTAGGTTGTACACCTACACCCACACAGCGCTCCCTTCTCCCACTGTCCCAACTCCGGGTACCGTAAATCAGGAAAAGAGCACACGTCTGTGTTGCAGGCCGCTGGCACCGTCAGCTGTGTCACTGTGCAGGCGGGATCTCCAGTTAATCCAAAGTACTGTGGTACCCTCTCATGGTCCACTGGCAAGAGTCCTTTGTACCCAGTTCCAGTCAAAGTCTCTGTTGCTTTTCAGGCCCCGCGGCCAAAGGGGGCACCCCAAAGCCGCGTGGGCCTCTTCTACCAAAGCTGCAGGAGTCCGCACTCCACCAAAAGCATGTGGCTGTCTTCTTCACCTGGCTGCAGGGATCTCCATTCTGGCAAAGCTGCGTGGTTTTTCCCTTTCACCTGGGAAAGAGGGGGTCCACACCCTGCCAAAACCACGTGGCTCCCTCTTTCACCTCACCAAGAGGGGGTCCTCACTCTGCTGAAACCGCGTGGCTCTCCCTCCATCTGGCCAAGCGGGGGCCCTTCATGTCCTGGAGCCAGTCTTTTCCAAGCTCTCATCTAGGCGCTCTCACTCAGGAGCGCAGCCCCTTGTTACATCCTGAGTCCCAGTCCACTCACTCAGGAAAGCAGCCCTTAGTTACATTCTGAGTCTCTTCTCACTCAGGAGCGCAGCTCCTAGTTCCATCCTGAGTCCCTGCCTCCACCTTCTCTCTCAGGTGTCCAGACTTTAGTTACATCCTCCTGAGTCCCAGTCCACTCACTCAGGAGAGCAGCCCTTAGTTACATTCTGAGTCTCTGCTAGTTCCTTCCTCAGTCCCTGCTAGTTCCATCTTGAGTCCCTGCCACAGCCTTCTCATTCAGGAGAGCAGATCTTGATTACATCTTGAGTCCCTGCTAGTTCCTTCTCTCTCGCCCCAAACTTGGCCACTGCTATTTAACATATCTATGAAACCAGTTAAAGGTTATAGATATGTTAAATAACCATTCCTCCAGAGGTTAGCTCCAAAACTGTTGCTATGCAAAATAGCTCCCAATGGCCTGGCTCCATTCATCCCTTCCCCCTGCGGGGGGGGGGGGGGGCAGTGAGGACATCTTATATGTCTCTCCAATATTTCTATACACTTTGAATTCTGGACACCATTCCAAATCTTTTTTTGGGCCCCCCCCCCCGGCTGCACCCTGTATCACTTGGGAGTGCAAACCCGGCCCTTCCCCCCATACTGCAGGCTTTGAACAGGTACACAAACGCTCTGTCTTGCAGTCCACAGACAGAGACGGAATAACAGCGGCCACGGCTGCAGGAGCTCACTGGGACGGATGAATGAGGAAAGGCTGGACAAACTCCGAGACTGCATGTCACACTTCGGAAGGCTTTTGTCAGCGTTGCTGCTGTTGAACGAAACGGGATGAGCTAACCAGGATACCTCGTCTTGCCTAAAAATCTGTTCTGTGAACAGAAAGATGTACTTCGTACCTTAAAAAAGCGTTTTTCTTCATGTCGTCGGCCTCCACGGGGGCTGGTGTCCGATGGCCTTCCACACACTGCTGTCCTGCCTTTTCCTGACCCTCAGCCTCGGAGCCACGTCCTCTGGGACACGGGGCAGCCGCCCTGGTGGCCTCTGCTCTCCTGCGCTGAGGGCCTGGCTGCTGTCTGCTGGCCTGGTGATAGCCTTTTCAACCTGTTGATGACCAAGTCATTCACAGACAGATGGCAGTTGAGGGCCTCCCAAAGACTCCCCCGACCGACCGGCTGCTGTCCGATTCACGGTGTCTGATTCACGGTGTCCGATTCAGATGCCACCCAGCAGCCTCCTTCTCTCCGCCTGGAGTCACACTGTGAGAGGGGCTGCTCGCCGGTCCCCACCCAGGTCCTGCTGTCTGCCCCGGGGGCACTGTCCACACCGCCCCCCAGGACCCTCCCTAGAAGGCCCGAGCCCCGTCACCCCTCACGTCACCTTCCCTCTCCTCCCCCCCCGCCCCGTGCCAGGCTGATAGTCTTCAGCCATCACTCTGTGAGGCCAGTTTTCCAAGACCCTCTTGGACATCATTCAGCCCTTTGCATTCTGCTATACTTCCATGTCCGGAGAAGTGAATATAATTTATTTTCAGATTTTGAATAATTTGTATGAAATAATTTAAGCAGATTTGAAGAATCTCTAGTGATTTACCCCTCTGACCTGAGATGAGGGACCTGGATTTTGAATCTATGGTGGGTTCTGGAGCCGGAGACTCTCAATACCCCTCTCGCCACCCAGTGGTGCAGGGTGTTGTCGTCCAACATGCGAGCTCTTCCTGACACCTGTGTCCCACTATGTTCGTGGTCACATTCAGAACCTGGTTATAGAATCACACTCATATAGGATGAAACTGAGATAAAGCATTGGGAACAGACATCATTGAAGCAAATATATGTATTTGCAGAAACTGAACCTCTAGAAGAATATAAAGAAAACCATGTTAAAAGTAACATGCTAGAGAAACAGGTCATTTCATTCAGAACTTTTCTTTTTTTTAATATATATTTTTTTATTTAGTTATTTTTCAAGTACAGTTTTTTTGGTCTATTTCTCCCATCCCAGCCCCCCTGCCCTGTCTCCCCACCTCCCTCCCATTCCCCCCCAGTCCTCATCCCTGTGTCTTTCATTTTCCAAATGTATTCGAAGTATATATATTTCCAAAGGATTTAATTTTTGCCCTAAATAGAATTAATTTATAAAAGCAAAATATACTTTACTATCTATAAATACCGGTTAAAATTGATATATCAGACTTGTAGATACTTTTAATTAGAACAAATGGTTTTCATTTGAACCTTATCTGCTCAAAGGGTATTATACTTTGCTGTTTTTTCTAAAATGTATTTGGGACAAAAATGATATTGAAGAAGTCGATAAAAATCCATGTCGACTCCTGAAGTGTAAACCACCGTCCATTTGTGTGGAGTTAATGTGTCAGCAGCTCAGAATAGCTTGTCCGTGGAAATGGAAGTTGCCCACAGAATCCGTCTGCAGGGCTACCGTGTTTTTTCTGTTACAATTTACTGAAAGCACGCATGCCTACGTCACCGCCCAGAGCAGCTCAGGTTTAAGTTCCTGATGACTCACAGAAACAGAAAATTCAGGGAAATTTACAGGTAAACCCCAAGTCCATTTTACTCGCCAATTAATGTTTGTCACGATGCGACATGTTGAAGCGACCTCATGTAATGCAGAATCAAGCTGGGCAGCCACAGCTGTGCACGGTGGGTGCGCTGTGCACACACACTCTCTCGCACACACACTCTCTCACACCTACACTCTACAAAGTAACAAGTTTAAAGGAGGAATTACTATTTCCGGGAATGCTTTTGTTTTCAAAGTTTACATTTTTGTGGACATTTTTGAAGGCTCAAGTTGGCAATGTGGAGGAGCCAGGGAGACTCAGCTCTTGCTCCTTCACTGGAGGAGGGCCCAGGTCCCACGGCAGGGGGGCCACGGGGGGCGGAAGGTGCTAGAGCCCTGGCTCAGAGGGACGGAGTCACATCTCCTGCGTCTTCGGTGTAGCCCCGTCCTGGGCGCAGACGTAGATGCCCAGGCACCTGCAGCATGGCCTGGCCCCGCCCTTTCTCCCCTTCCCCGCTGTTCTGCTCCATCCTTCAGAAGAGCACCTGAGCTCTTTACCAAAGGATGCAGCCCATGGAACACGGTGTGTGGCAGATAGCTGGCAAGGAAATAAAACTGTGAAGACTGAAACATTTCTAGACCACAGTCTAGAGTCAATCACTGTTAATAATTTCATAGATGCTGCTGTTTGAGACATCACGTACCAGACTTCCTTATAGAATAAAATTCAGTGTTCTTACATGGGTACACCTTCAGTACAATTGTAAGCATTCTTCCCTCATTTAGCATTACCTTAGTGTTCATTCACATAACTTAAAGCTCTTCGTGGATATAATTTTTACAGCATTTGGTCAAAGATATACACCAAGAATAGTTTTCTATGTAGCATGAAAGTATAAAGATGTAGGAAGTTAACTGCAGGCATTAGTATTTACTGAGAACCTGATGTGTGAGACAAGGGATGCCCCACTTAGACGGTCTGGGGAAGGTGCCGTGGAGGGATGGGAATTAACCCTGGCCCCTCCCACCAGGGCCGAGAAGCCCCTGTTTTGACCGGTTGGCAGCGGACTTCGGCCTCAGTGAGGAATTCCTTCCCTTTCTCTACTTTAGCAGACAGAACAGCCCACGCTTTCCATGTCTCGGCCTTTCCGAAAGGAGCTGTGTGTGTGGGGAACACAGACGAGTCCCCAAAAACCACCATTAATGAGACGGTGTCATGAGTCACCTTCCTCGATGGAGAGTTTGTGCTGTGTCTGCCTCCTCGGCCATGATTCCACTCGGAGTCCAGGGCGAAACCAGCCCCAGAGTTGTAGACTGTCACAGCGTACACAGCTCCAGGGCGAACCCGTCAAAGCTGCGGTTTTCATCTCGCTGTAAAAAAAAAACCCCACATTTTTCAAACTTTTGGGAAATACCTTAAATTCAAAATTGTAAATACAAATAAAGGAAGAAAAGGGTTTTTGATCATCCACAGGAAGTTGCTCTTGAGACACAAGGGAAACTTATTTTTACTTGAAGCAAATTCATTTTCACTAAGAGAAAAGAGTATCCATTTTACTTAAGTAACATAATTTTTGAAAATTTTAATGAGGCCTATAGGAGAAAAGAAAAACGGAGTAGTTTTAAAACTTTAACTTAGATGGTTGTTAGTACTTGAAAATTGTCCCTTAAAATGCCTCTGTCGAGGTGCTGAGACCATGACCTCATTTGGGAATTGTAATAGCCATTAGTAGTAGAAGCATACAAACAGCCGTTAGGCATCTGCAGTTCCTGAGACTGGGTAATAAATAAATGTCAGGGAACGGCTGGGTTAAAATTCCTAGCCAAATAAGGTAACTGACCAAGGCCCGCCAGATAAGACCCCAGCACCAATTAGAGACTTTCGCCGTTTTTTTAACTTAGCAACCTGGCTAATAGCTAACTGCCACATCTGCTTCTGTAACCCCGCATTCGCTTGCTCTGCCCTATAAAAACCCCCGTAGTCTGTGAGCCAGGCGCGACTCTCATCTGCAGCCCTTTTGGGCACCGTGTCTCTGGACACCCCGAGAGTTCGCCCCTGCGCAGGTAAAGCTTGGCCACCAAATTTATAATTAGACTATTATTTTGTAATCAATAAAATTAGAGATCTTTGAAACCTATCTTCATCTCCGAGAGCGTGCATTGACTCATCTGTTGCCTACAACATTTGGAGGCCCCAGCGAGATACGCACGTGCCCTCGGAGAACCCATCTGTATGCCGGCCCGGTAAGTATCTGGTATCTGTGAGAGATCTCTATCTGGGAAGGTCGCGGCCATCGGAGCCCTGAGGCAGTAGGTGGGACGCTACCGGTATTCTGCCCAGGGGACCCCAAGAACTGGGGGACGCCCTCATGGGGTCGGAGCTTTACGCTCCCGTCTGGTAGGGGAACTGCAGTCCCCGTCTGGTAGAGTTTTGTGCTCTATTCTGGTAATGGGGGGGGAGAACTGGAGTGCCCCCCCCCGTCTGTTTAGGTTACGGCAGGAGATCACTTACGATTTCCTCGCTCTAACCGAAAAGCGCCTGCGCAGCGCCTGCGCCCCCCTGAATGAGTGAAAGAGCTGAAGTTGTGTGAGAACCGCGGTTCGCCTGTGTGAGAGGAGAAACAGTGTCTGTGAAGTCTTTGTTTGTTACGGATGTGTTTCAGTGTTTGTGTTTCTATGTCTAATTTGTGATTTTAAAACTATGACTGGTTTCTGAGCTTCCAAAGGTCTTACAGGCGGAGGGATTGTGCTGCAAGACGGCGGTGAGCCCTGCAACAAAATGGCGCCCTCCGCACCCCCACCCAATAGGCAAAAGTTTTACAGGCATCAAAGAGGGGCCCGGCCGACCAACCGACAGCGCCGGCCGCGAGCGGGCCTCTCCACCACTGATGGCAGCATGCGAGGCCCAGGAGGGCGGGTTTCGGTCCCCACCTTGCTGCGCGCCGGCCCAAACGGCTCGGAGCGCTAGCGCGCAGCGCCGGATGCGCGCGCTGCGGCGGACTACCAGCCTCCGCCCCCCCGCTGGCCGCTGACGCCCCCGCCCGGCCCGCGGGAGAGCCACCCTGTCCCGCGACCGGTGACCGACGGCCGGCGCCCGTGCGCGCGCCAGCTGGGTCCGCGGGCGCCAGTGCCGAGGAATCTGACTGGTTGAAACAAAGCAGCACGGAGGCCGCGCTGGTATTGACGAGATGAGTATTTTGCCCCCAGAGTTCTCCCAGTCGGCAATGCTGGGACCCTCGCTCGCTGATTGGAAAAGCGCGCACACTTCTCGCATCCTCGCACCCTCCCCTCTTCCCCTTATCGGCACCCCAGGTGGCGGGGCGGGGGCGGGAGGCTGTCTCCTCGGGACAGACGGGATTGCCAAGGTGCTGGGTCGCTCCTGCGAGCAATCGCTTCCCCCTCCCCAGCCCCGGAGACCCCCCTGCCCGCCCTGATTTTCTGGATACTGTCCCCCTCCCCTCCGTGCTGACTTTGGTGGCTGGCGGCAGCCCTTCCCCCCAGGCTACTGCGGGGGAGATTTGGAAGGCTGACTAGGGCGGCCCGCCCCCGCTGGCTGTTTCCTAGCAACGGGTAGGGTTTCAGCCAGTGGGCGGGGCTGATGGCAGGCACTGAAGTGAGTTTTCTGCTGCAGCAGCTTGAGGCGTGAGGAATTTTAAGTTCTGAAATGTTTGCCAGTGAGGACCTTGTAATTCGACTGGTCTGGCAATTGTGAGACGAGCTCATCATACTTTAAAAGAGTCTTGAGCCTTTCCCCCCGAGAGTGATTTATTGGCCATTTTAACTCTTAGCTCGGAGAGGGGAGTGTGCTGTTTGCCTTTCTGAATGACCTTTAGCTCCAGATTTCTCCAAGCTGTGTGGAATTCCAACCAGCGCCCCCTGGAGTGGTCACCTAAGAGAGACTTTTAAAGAGACTAAATTAATGCTGCAAACAAGCAAGAGTGTTTTCAGATTCTTCATGCTGAAAGTAACTTTGTAAAGTCTGTGCTAATTCTTCTAAAATTGAAATGTAACCAAACCTGTTACTTTTATGTATCCCATGTGTTTATATGATTTTTCAACTGACTAGATTTAAGAATTTGAGTTATAACAACCCAGAAATGCCTTAATTAATTCCTGTTTGTGCTCTATAATGTATATAGAAATTGTTCCTTGTAATTGCATTCGAGAATAGCAAATAGCAGATTTCACAGGCCTATTTTAATTTGATTTTATAAACAAGAGTAGAGAGATATTGCTGACCGCTCTGCCTGATTTTAGAATCGTACCGCTGCCCTTAGGGTCTGGGGGCGAGAGACGACCTCTGGAGTGCGAGACTCCCTGGTGGCAGGCACTGCCTTGGGTTTCTCTCCCTGCCCCCCAGAGCTTAGTCAGAAGTCGGTGACAAAGCCCTGAGTCCCCGTATATTCTGGGAGAAGCGCTTTCTGACTTCGATCTCCTTAGGCCTGAATGCCTACTGGGGAGAGGTGCAACTCCCGTGCCTTGCTAGAGTTAGGAAAAATTTGGCGTCACAAAGGCTTGCTAATGAACCTGTGAAGTCTGCTAAGAGTGCTTTCATTCATATGATAAGAGTCCGAGGGGTCCTAGTGTGTGGGAAGCTTAGATAGAGCCGCTGGGACGGCGGATGGGCTGCCTCTGGATTGAGAGCAGGCTTGGGACCTCGTTTGCCCCTTCTCTCTGGTGCCCCTCGGTTGTCCCTGCGCCCCTGCACACTGGCTCGGCCACTGGGGCATGCTCTGTGCTAATTCCTGTCATCTATCTATGTAGGAGAGCTGACCTGGGTGTCCTGGCTTCCCATGACTTTGGCATGGACTGCCCTGGTTATGGATAGGTTCGGGGTTCCCTCCGGGGGGCCGGCCGGCTCCGAAGGTCAGCCATTCTGGGGTACAAAACGTTTCTAGCTGCAGCAGTCAGGTTCTCTGTGTAACTGATTCTGATAGGAATAGCTTTAGTTTTGAAAGTCATGAACTGAGATCCAAGAGTGACCACCTGATTTATAGGGTATGGTAGTTGCAAGGTCTAGGCTTCAGAAAGGTTAAAAAAATGTGCCTGCAAATCTAGAGACTTTTAGTAGAAGATACCTGAAGTACTAGAGATTTTTAGCTGCCGCATACTGAGTTTAAGCAGTGAGTTTAACTACAGCCTTTCCCAGTGTGGGAAAGGAACCAAGATTAAAAGAAAGTGATAGTTAAATCTAAATGAGCAGAAATATGTACAGAGGATATAAAAGTTTTAAACCTGGAGTAAAAGAAACCTCAACTACTTGTTTTCTAATTTCATGGGAAAAGCAAATTTCCACATGTGCAGTTCTGTTTCTGATTAGAAACCTGAACCTATTGAAGTCACCTGAAGACCAGAAGGTCACTATAGCCAGTTGGGAAGAATGCCTTTGCCACCCGGGACCCAGGAAGGGTCATATGGGGCTGACGAGTGCTTCAGCCTGAGGGCAAAGCAGCATGTCTCTGCCGAGAGAAGTCTCCCTGGCCTGAAGGAGCATGTCTCTGCGAGGCACCAGTGGAAGCATTAGTGCAAGAGAATGTCTCTACCTGTATTGTTTCGGAACACTGTTTTGAATATTGCTCTGTATCTGCTCTGAAAAAGAAATTGAAGATTCCAAGAAAGGTTGAATCTTCATACTCTGTAAAAAAAGTGAACAAAAGAAAATATAAGATATAGAAATGAAGAGGTGTATAAAAGATTGTAGAAGTTTGCAAAAGTTTTGGAAAGGAATTATATAAAGTTAGTAATGGAAGATATAAAGCATAGAAATACAATCTTAATGGATATCAGAAGGGAAAAGATTTTCCATTATGCTTTATATTTTTCTCCCTACCTAAACCCTTCAGAAATTGGCATTCTAAAGGAACGAGTGATGACATAAGGTTTCTTTGCATAAAACCAATAAGACCAGTCTTTAATAGTAGTTTTGTTAACCAGGACTTTGACTGGAACATCACGCCTGAAGGAGGCATATGGGTTCTGGTCATTACCAGAAAGCTCAGAGGAACTAGGATTGACCTGTGAAGCTAGTGAAAGCCCACAAGAAAAGCCTGGTACTTTGGTTAGTTGTGTGGTTCGTGCCAGTCTTTCCAGGGGAGGAATGAAGGTTGCTTTCCTGAAAGATGGCTAAAAAGGAACCTGTAAGCACAATGGACGCTCAAGGATTTGAGTGAAACAACTGGTACAGGCGAGGCCAGATGTGTGGCGCTGCTATGCCCTGAGAGGCAGATTGAAAAGTCAATCTAAGAGTTCCCTGGGTGAGTGTGTGAGTTCCAGCAAAGCAGACTTAAGGATCACAAATAATCCAGGCTGCTCTTGGTGTGTTTATGCAAACAAACAGTCAAAAATCAAAAGCGGGACCCAAAGTAGTCCCTGTAAATAACAGTGAGGGTGATCTTAAGGAGAAAAATTATAGTTCAAGGAAAATCACAGTGCTCAGCATTGGACATCAGAATGGTACAACTAACTGTCTTGAAAATTTGCTCTCATTTGAAAGTTGAAACCAGGTTTGTGATATTACCAAAGATGTACAATTTACAGGTGCAAAGGACCTTGTCAAATTGCCACTGTTAAATGTCATTGTAGGAAGGACCTTGCAATAGAATGTCTTCCCAAAAGACAGTCTTACAAGCGCAGAGACTGGTTTGGGGATAGTTATGCCAATTAACCTATGTGTTCTTCTGTTTTCATAGGGCGTATGCCTATGACTTGCCTATGCCTATGAGAGATTAGTTGCAAGATAGGCCTCACTTAAGGAGCCCATCTCCATCATTGCCCCACTAAGTCTCAATGGTTTGGCTGAACTAAGTAGTTGGGTTAGTAAAAGACTGGGGCGGTTTGTGGGCTTCACTTTAGAACTAATTTTCTCTTTTCTGTCTTGATAGTTGGACAGAAAGGGCTCAGAAACCTGAAAGGAGGGAACTCCTAATCATTACTGAAGTGCCTGCCATTGTCTATTAATAGTTATAATTAAATTGTGCTTCCAATTTCTTGCCTAATCTGTCACCTCCAGAATATGACCTGACCAGAATGACAGCGGTCCAGTAATGCCAGCTTCTGGACACCAAGCCTGCGATGTCCGGGTGACAGCCAACTGACCAGGACCCTGTGAGGTCTTTCCCCTTACAGGAAAGACTCCCTCCGTGCTGCTCCCCTTCAGGGCACCCCAACCCAAGGGTAAATGAGACAGCGTCCATTTCCAGCTTGGAAGAAGTTACAAGAAGATGAGACCTCCGTCCCTTTTCCTTTATATAATTATGAAGTAGGTATAAATCTAAAAGGAAGAATATTGATACAGAGTGCATCCACGGGGAGCCCCAGAAAAGATTTGGGATGAGATCCAAGGTTCGAGGTATCCAAGAGATATTAAGGTATACTTACCACTCCCCAGGAGAGAGAGACGAATAGAGCAGGGCCATTGGGAGATATTGTGTATAGCAACAAGTTTGCGGCTGACCTCTGAAGTAATTATTTAACATATGGCTTTTGGCTAATTTCATAGATATATTAAATAGTATAGCCAGGCTTAGAGCTAAAGGAATAAAGTCACTTACCCAAGATATAACTGGGAGCAGAGCCCCTAGAAGAGGGCCTGTATAAGAGCTTAGAAAAGATCAACTCCAGGACATGAGAAGATAACTGCCCAGGTGAAAGAGGGTGCCACATAGTTTAGGGCAGAATACCAAGCCCTGCAGTTTTGATAAAAGAAGCCCACATGGCTTTGGGGTGCCCCCTTTGGCCACGTGGAGCCTAGAAACAAGAGAGACTCTGACTGGAATTTGTTACGGAGGAACTCTTGCCAGTAGACCGTAAAGGAATGCCACATAACTTTAGATTGGCTAAAGATCGTGCCTGATACAGCTGACGTGCCAGCAACCTGAAACACAGATGTGTATTCTTTCTTAATTTGCAGTACCCGGAGTTACGACAGTATAAGTAAAGAGCAAAGACATAAAAGTATTTTAAGTTGAAAAAAAACTTAGTTTCTGACTGCTCTTTTACAATAATAGCACTAGAATTATAGGTGATAACAAGGAGGATTATGTGCAGCCTTAGGGGAAGAGTGCTGTTTTTATGCCAATCATTCAGGGATAATTAGAAAAAAAAGAAAAAAAAAACATCAAAATACTAGCTAGAAGACTAAAAGAAAGAGAACAAGAGGAACAGACCTCTTCATGGTATGCCTCTCTGTTTAAAGCTTCCCCTTGGCTGACCACGCTCATATCAGCGTTGGTTAACCCTATACTTATCCTATTGCTTGCCCTGACTGCAGGACCCTGGATCTTGAATAAGATTTTTGCATTCATCAGGGACAGGATTGATGCCATCAAGCTTATGGTATTGTCCCAACCATATACTATCCTGCCTCAAGATGACCGGCAGTCAATGGTTTAACTGCTACCTAACCGGAGGGGGGAATGTAATAGCCATTAGTAGTAGAAGCATACAAACAGCCGTTAGGCATCTGCAGTTCCTGAGACTGGGTAATAAATAAATGTCAGGGAACGGCTGGGTTAAAATTCCTAGCCAAATAAGGTAACTGACCAAGGCCCGCCAGATAAGACCCCAGCACCAATTAGAGACTTTCGCCGTTTTTTTTAACTTAGCAACCTGGCTAATAGCTAACTGCCACATCTGCTTCTGTAACCCCGCATTCGCTTGCTCTGCCCTATAAGAACCCCGTAGTCTGTGAGCCAGGCGCGACTCTCATCTGCAGCCCTTTTGGGCACCGTGTCTCTGGACACCCCGAGAGTTCGCCCCTGCGCAGGTAAAGCTTGGCCACCAAATTTATAATTAGACTATTATTTTGTAATCAATAAAATTAGAGATCTTTGAAACCTATCTTCATCTCCGAGAGCGTGCATTGACTCATCTGTTGCCTACAACA